CCCAGACCTGTTGGGGACTCCTGAGATCCCGTTCCACCCCCTTTCCTGCCCCCCCGGTTCCTGAGAGCCCGCACAACCCTCACTGGGCCCCCCAGCCCTATGTGAGACTGCCCCGGCCCAGAGATCTCCCTTCCCCTCCCATTTTCCTGTTCTTCCATCCACTCCCGAGAGCCCCGGGGCCCTCCCTTGTCTCCCCCAGAGCTGCGGGAGACCCCCCTGAGCCGCCCATATCCCCCTTTCCTGGCAGTGCCGCTCACCCTCCTCTCCTCAGAGCTCCCGAGACCACCCCTGGACCCCCAGTCCCTGTGAGTCCTCGTTCCCCACCCTCTGCTTTGATCCTGAGAGCCCCTGGGACCCTCCCTGGGCCCCCCAGCCCTATGGGAGACCCCCTGAGCCCCCCCGAGCCTCTCCCTTTTCTGCCTCAGCCTGGGGGGGTCCGGAGGGCTGAGCCGGTTCCAGCCCCTGTTTCCTCTTGTGGAAGGATCAGCGGGACTGGGGTGTGTACAGGGGATGTGGAGACCCCTCTTGTGTCCCCCATCCCGGTGGCCACTCAGAGTCCCCCCTGCTCCATGACCATCAGGGATTCCACTGGTCAGCACCGCTGGGTGCTCTGGGTGTCTCACCGAGGGTTTGGGGTCTTCAGACTCCCGTTGTTGTTGTTGTTGTTGGAGGCCAGGCCCCATTCTGGGGGGGCACACGGTGCTCCCCTCCCTGCCCTGTCCCCTCTGCGTGTGCTGCAGGGGAGGGTGATGCAGCAAAACCCACCTGCTCTGGGAGGGGGCAGTTTAGGGACACTGAAGGTGCTCACCTTCAGCCCAGAGGCAATGGGGGGCTGAGGTGGGGCTCCTGGTGGGGTTTGACACTTCTGTGAAGGCCGGACATGTCCCAGGCTGGCCTGAGGGGCGTGGGGACAACAGGATGGACACAGTGGGGCACCGGGGGCATCCCGCCCTTGGCAGCCAGTGTCCCCCACTAGCCTGGGAGGGGATCCATGCCAGCCTGGGGAGGGTCCTGCCCAGCTGAGAGACCCCTCGAGCCCCCCCAGCTTCACTCTTGGAGTGTTTAACCCCAAGACTCTCTCTTGGGGATTCCCCAGAGTGCACCTTGAGGACATCCCAGGGTGTGCAGTGGGATTTTGGTTGGGCAGGGTGCTGGGAGGGGTGTGCAGGTGAAGGCTGAGGTGCCAGTGAGACCCCCCCGTGCCCCCAGCCCCCGTGTCCCGTGCTATGAACGTTCGGCGTGACTTCTCCGCAAGCAGCTGCAAATGAAAATGGAGGATATGTCTTTGTCTGGCCTGGATAACAGCAAACTGGAGGTGAGCTGCCCCCCCTGGGGTCTGTCTGTCCCTTGGGGTGTCTGTGTGGGCCCCTCCCCTCCTTAACAGCCCCCCCTGGGCCCCCCAGGCCATCGCACACGAGATCTACACGGAGCTGGTGGAGGATGCCTGCCTGGGGCTGTGCTTCGAGGTGCACCGGGCTGTCAAGTGCGGGTACTTCTTCCTGGATGACACGGACCCCGACAGCATGAAGGACTTTGGTGAGCCCCTCAGGTCCCCCAGAGTCGGGGTGACGCCCTGGGGGCACAGCTGGGGCACGGGTGGGAGGTGGCAGAGACCCCCTGGCAGCACTGCCGCCGGTTTCAGCTCCCCCGAGTCCCGTTGAGG